GAAAAAAAAGAAACAATAAAAAAGGGTTTATCCTGTTTCTGCAAAAAAAAAAGGGTGTATCCTCTCTAAGAAGGAAAGAGAGATTTGATCTGATAGGTTCTTGCCTTGAGCTTGTTTATTGGGTCCCGTGTCGAGACTTAAAAGCATACTTGGGTTTGCCTCTTGACATACAAGTTACTTGAGTTGATTTGGGGTTAGATAGGGAGCAAACCATGAGGAAGGTGGTCCTGATGAACTTCATGGTCAATAGATTTGTTTCTCAAGTCAAAAGATTGATGTTATCGTTGCTTTTCTTTTTTTCATCTATCTCTATGTTTCAGTCAAATTCAAAAGACGAAAAAACAGAATTGCATTCAACCAGAAATAATGGAGAATGCAAGAAAAAGAAAACTGATGTTTCTATTGTTGCATGCTAGCAATTTTTCCAGAATTATTCACCTGTTTCATTTGGTTTAGGAAAGTAGAAAGTTTTAATCATCATCATCATAGCCTTTTCCCAATTAATTGGAGTTAGCTACATGAATCCTGGTCCTCTATTTTGCTCTATTAAAAGCCATATCCTCAGTGAGGCCATTAGTCCGTATATCTTTTCGGACTACTTCCAACCACACCCTTTTGGGCCTACCCTTTACCCTTTTCAATCCTTCCACTTGAACTAACTTGCACTTCGTAACAGGTGCTGCACTGGGTCGATGCCACACATCGCCAGCCCACCTAACTCGCTCTCATCTTATCGTCTATTGATGCCACACCTAATTTTCCCCAATGGATATCTCTTTTTTCTTGCGGTATTGGAAAATTTTAATGAATATCTCTTTTTTTGCGGTATTTAAAATATGTCCCATAATTATTACATTTTACAGCCATTTCCTTTTTTTTGCCTTTTTCATTTTTCCCAAAATGCCTTGCATACATAAAGCTCGAATCGGTTTGGCACATGGATTGCCAAACTGCACTCTGGATTTTCTATAGGCTCCAGAGTGGGGGTCAGCACTCCAAGTGCCAACCTGACCTAAAGCTCATGTACCGACTTGGATGACTCAGTTTTCTATTTTTATTTTTATTTTGATATTTTATTTTTATTTTTATACGTAAGGGAGCCGATTAACTCATTTTCCTTCATTCTTTGAATCCCACTCTCTATGATCTCAGGTCGAGTTATCATTTCTAGTGCCAATTTGCACTCTGGAGCCCTGTGGCAAATCCCCACAGTGCGGTGTGTGATGATCTGAGGGCATTTTGGGAAAAGCGAAAAAAAGGGAATGGGTGTAAAATATAAAATTTATGTAACATATTTCAAATAGCGCAAATAATAGGGGTATTTACAAAAAGCTCCCTTCGGTTTATTTTAACAAAGAAAATAACCAAAAACTCTATGATTCTTGAACCACTGAATGGAAAATTCTCGTCTCATCTTACGAACAGTATATGATGTGACAAATTTTGTTATGCTTTTTGCTTACAACTTCATCAAAGATTTCCATTTCCTCATTGTCAATTCTGTGTAATAAGTGTTATTCACTATGTTACAAGGGCACGTATACAAGAATCTGTCTCGGACTCGGATTGAAGAATCTGACTAACCAGACTATGTTTTGCCAAGTCCAATTCCGTGCAAGACATATGTGTTTGTGTTTATTGAAATATTTATATAGAAAATTGATTTGTGACTTTCTGAGACTAAAAGTAACTTACAAAAATAGAACATGTTGGTTCAAATGAAAGACACTCGTTCTAAATCATACACGTACTCACCCGATTGTGCGGACGCACGTCTTATGAAATGGATGCATCTTATAATGTGGAGGTGCATGTCTTAGTAGAACATATGTTTTGTTTGTAGTTGCCCTTCCTTCGCCCCAAATTTCTTTGCAGTCGCTTCCCTTCTTGACTTTGCTACTCTCCTTCCATGTCACTATGTCGAAGAAGGGTACCAATTTCTTGCTAAACTTGTACCATTTTCTTTCGTTTCTCCTTAACATCTTTCAATGATTGGCAATGTACAGGGTTTCATCCTTTCACTGAGCATGAACATGTTTACTTGTCTTCTAACTTGTCCGAGACAAACATCCTAAAGGGGATTCTTTGTTTTCCTCTGAGGATGAATGAACGAGGGCAATTGTGCCAACTAGTTATATTTGCTCAGTTGCTTTATTTGGTGCAAGCAATTCCTTATGCAACCTTGGGGATCTTGTTTAAGAAAGGAGGACCAAATATGGGAGTGTAGATGCCCACCTGTACAAAACCACATTATTGTTGTGTAATTGATCAAGAACTGCAACCAGTCAAGTCTTCATTAATAACATTGGAGATGTCGTCGTTGCAAAGTTAAAACTTTAGAGGGATTCTCTAGAATCAAAAGATTTTAAAATTAGTTGTACCAAGACTAAATATATGGTATGCTAATTTAGTAATAAAAGGAGTAGAAACGAGGAATAGTTAAAGATTGATGGCCAAGAAGTACCTAAACGACATACTTTTATATATCTTGGGTCAATAATCCATGAGCATTAAGAAATTTGAGGAATATTTTGTGCATATAATTAAAGTTGGGTCTGGGTGGATGAAGTGGAGTTGTGCTTATGGAGTTTTGCGTGATTGTCTCATACCAATAAAACTCAAAGGGAACTTCTATAGAACAGCTATAAGAACAGCCATGCTTTCTGGGATGGAATGGTGGGTAGTCAAGAAGCAATATATTTATAGAATGAGTGTGGTTGAGATAAAGGATGTTGAGATGGGTAAGTGGCAAGACAAGAAATGATAGAACTTAGATTGAAAACATCGGAAGGGACGTAGGGGTAGCTCTAATGGGTGATAAGATGAGGAAAAGTAGATTTAGGTGGTTTAGCTATGTTGACCTAGAATAACACCAGTTTGGAGGGTTGATTTGGTTCAAGTGGAAGGCTAAAAAATGGCGAAAGGGAAGGCCCAAAAGGACATGGCGGAAGTAGTGAGAAGAGATATGGTAAGATCCTTGATAGATCAGAATGGCAGAACATGATTCATGTAGCCGACACTAAATAGTTGTGATAGGGCTCAGATGATGATGAACTGCAACTGATCAAGTAGGCTGCAAGGTTCTAAGCTCAGGTCACCTGGAAAACTGACTTAGACTACTGGTGGTATGTAGTAATATTAACTTGCAATTTTCCGTTTGTAATTCTAATTTTGACAATTTCATCCTTAACACATTTGGTTTTGGATAAATAAAGGACAAGGCGTGTGAAGGACAGCCCTAATGTTCAATGCATTGTTTAATAAATTCAATCATATAGATGGGCTTAGGTCACCTTACTATCATAAACAAATGAATGTCACAGGTGACTATTTAAGCCTGTAAACCTCTTGATTGTCTTTCTAGTCTTTCTACGCTTGAAAGGTGTTGACCATTCTTCTGGCGATTCTGTCATGGACCTTCTTGAAAGCTCATTTTCGTAGCCAGCCCTTTGACACACTACAGCTTAGTCTTTCACTCATGTTAAAGTTCTTTTTTTCTCTATCATTCCCATGGGAACATCAAAATAGTCCTTCCAATTCCCCCACATTACAGCATCCAGAAAAAAGAGATGGGGAAAAAGAAAAACTTAGATCAGGCTCTCTTTTTCCATGCACTTCCTAGGTCAACTTCGTAATTGCTTGGCTGATCTATCGCATGAATCGTTGCACAAGCATCATATGCTGCTAGACCAAGACCTTCTGCTTTTCAAATGTTCCCTTCATAGATTGTGCAAATCTCTCAAAAGTCAAGCCGAAAGCTGTTGGAAATGGCCTTTAAAAGGGGTTTTTATCCACTGTTCATCCCTAAGAAAATTATATTTTTGCGTGGCTAGGAAGCCCTGAGCAAGGAACCTTTTGGCAGTTATGGCTTACTCCTGTCATGATCCTATACCCATTCCTGCGACCATTCTTTGTAACTTAAAAGAGTCGTGACTTCATAACTAATTAATGTTTTCATATGCATGGCGTTTAGTTCTGATATAATTAATGTGTTACAGTATTAATGTTAACAAGTAGCTGTATTTTTCTTTAAGGTAAAGGTCGATGTGATTTGACAATCTGAATTTGAAAATTTGAAATAATGAAACCGTGGAATTCAAAACTCGTTTGAGTTTCATTTGAATGTATTCTTGCTCCATAATGAACAAACAGGTTCAAGATATGGTGGCTATTATTTACTTTTTTATCACGGAAAGAAGCAATTGTATATGTTTCTCTACCTATGTACACTTTGGTGATGCTGGAGGATTTTGTGGTGGAGATTCGTGAGATTTTTCTTTTTCGTTTTTCTTTTGAAATGTAAATCGACTCGAGAAGGGCCTTCTTTCTTTCGTTCTAAGAAATTTGTGTTGAAAGTTTAAACCATAGAACTAAATCCCAAGGTTTTAGCTCTTGCAATTTTTTTTATCTAAATGGTATTTGTTTTATTTTCTTTGGAACCTCAAGTTTGAGAAAAGATTTCTTTGGAACCTTATTCAATAAAAGGCAACAAAAATGTTCTTCTCCTCCTAGTCTATGATATCTTTCGTGTCCATATTTGTATGATTATTGAAATTCATCTTTTTTTTTCATGTTCATATGTTTGTAACCGTTTACACTCGTCTCACATCTCACGAGTTTTGGTCGGGTCTTTTAGTCCAATCTTATTTTGGAGTGTCGAGAAATTTTTTAGATAATTGCTGTTGAATTTTGACCTCGGGAGTGACTCCCGAAATATATTTATGACCATGCTGCAAATTGATTACTCTGGTGATCCAGGGAATTATTGGGTGTTCGGTTGTATGTTGCACTTAGGCTGTAGACTTGTATCATCATTTATTGAACTACTTCCTCTTGTTAATATTCCTTAAACTCCTGCTGCGTTCAACGCAATCATGTTGACACATTAATATTGATTTAGAGAGAGAGATAGAGAGAGAGAGAGAGAGAGAGAGATCCATCTTGTTTCAACTTGTCAAAAAGAAAAGCAAGCAAACACACGTTAAATTCTTTTGGTCCAGGCATTCGAGGAAGCCATAGCAGAGCTCGACACATTGGGCGAGGAGTCATACAAGGACAGCACTCTCATCATGCAGCTCCTTAGGGACAATCTTACACTCTGGACATCTGACGCTCAGGTAAGTAGAATATCCACCTTTCCAACCGCCCTCTCTCTCTCTGGACCAACATATCTATGTTTCAATGCACCTGCAGGAGCAGTTGGACGAAGCATAGGGAGTTGCAGTGTGTTTGGCGTCCAGCCCTCCAATACAGAATTTGGACTTGAAATGTTATCTAACACAGAGGGTGGTTTTATTGACAAAGACGTCATACTTGTTCTCAACATGTTTTATATTAGAGTTTACAACTGTTACTCAGCTTTGATTCAATAGAATTCTCAGATGATGATAATGCTTTCATTCAGTCTCTAGTGTTGTTTTTGAGCCACTCCAAGTATTGGTCGTTGCCCCCAACAATGGGCAAGGCAATGACTTCTGGTACCCTGGTAACATGGAAATGAATATTGTTGATGTAAGCACATGCTGCCTTCAAATGAGTTAAAAAACTACGAAAAGTTTAGTTTGAAGATTGTCTTAACTGGTATTCATGATTTTTTTTCACATGGTCTGTTAAAGCTCCCAATAGTGACTCCCTTGTCTTGATTATAAGCAGCTCCTCTGAATCTATCTCAATCTGAAACAAAGCAACCAAGTTGAAAGATTGAAAATAAGAAATAATAAAAGGCATTCTTTGTTTGGAGAAAGTTTACGTAACGTTGCAAACAGTACTTGTGAAAATAAGGCTGTGTAACAAGTACTATTCATTTTAGGGTGCGGTTTATATAAAGCTGGGGCTTTAAACAATCAAAGTAAAACGCAAAACCCACCTTCAACAAAAAAATGTGGTTTTAATATAGGAAATCATTGTGATAGCTTTAAAATATATTTTTATATTTAATTATAAAATTTAAAGCTTAAAAAATAATGTAGATCAAATAGATCTATGAAAATTTGGAAATCTTGAAAATTGATGGTCTAAAAATACATTACAAGATACATTATTTCGTTTTTTATTTTATTTTTTTATTACATATTTTATAAAGTTATTTCGAAAACTTGAAATCTATTTTTTTTTTCATGTCCATGCATCTTGATGTCAAGATCAATATGAGGATATTTTGGCATCAAAACCACCTTTTATAATGAAATTTTTTAAGGGGGTTCTAATTTGATTGTTTAAAGCCTCGGCAACCCATATAAATTTTTCTTTCATTTTATTTGGATGATGTAGATCTCACATTATTTTAAAAGACGGCACTTTTTGGCATCGTCTTAAAAGATATGTCAAATTTATACCATCCAATTAAAATAGACGGTGTAGAGCATCACAATTTTACTTTTAGAAATAAAGTTGCAACTTGAACTTCACCTTGTTTGTTTTTTTTTTTTTTCTTTTCTAGTGGGGGGAGAAAAGGAAAGCATTTTTCTAAAACGCAAGCTTTCTATGCTTCCCCGACAGCATAAAATTTATATATTTTCCCTTATCCAACCGTCCATTTTCCTATAAACTATTTTGACACCAAATGTTGGACGTCCTATCCTCTATTAAACTCGTACTAGTGGAAAATATGAGAAAATATTTTCAATAAAATAAAATGACCAAAATACCCCTGCAATTTTTAAGGGGTATTTTGGTCATTTTATTTTATCAAAATATTTTTTTGAATATTTTTTATAGGTGCGCTCCAATGAAAAAATGACACATACAAAATTTCATATTCATGCAATTTGTATAAAAAAACTAAAAATAAAATATTTGAGACGTCGGATCTAAATTGGACGCATGGATGGTAGGGGAAGTATAGAAACTTTTCCCTTGAATAACATTTTACTAAAACACATTTGATAAAGGATTTTCTCATACCTTATCCTCCCACCAATATGTTGACTCGATACCTGCATTGAGCGTATTGTACACGTTACTAATGGGAGGAGGAGGAATGCAAAGCGAAGTGTGGTTCAAGGATATCAGAAATATAAATGAAGGATGACATCCAAGAAAACTCAAAGCTCATTTTAAATTTCAGGAACATCACCGGCTAATAGATGCCATGAAAGATAACCATAATTATTAAACATGCAATGGAAGAAAACACAGGTACCTTATTAAACTTAATACTTCATGGATAATGAAACAAATGCCAAAAGGGCTACAGCATTCACGATGGTAAAAAAGGATGCGTACTTGCAGAGCAGAAAAATAGAGTAAAAAAGGGTAGTAATCACAGAAATGGCAATAGTTTATGAAAAAAAAGGATTTCACCGTCGAAGATGTCGCACATGATTTATTCATTTTGGTTATGTATTTATTTATTTATTGGGGGAATGTTGGTCAGTTTCGAAGTCCACCTGTATAAGCAGCACTGACCCCCCCAAATCATGGGGAATTTCAAATGCGGCTGTCATTATTCCGGAAAGTGTCATAATTTAAAGAAAAATAGGAGACTATTTTGAGAAGATTCTGCTTCAACACATGGCATGAAACATACCTTTCCAAAATATTTTCAGAGAGGAAACTAATGAAGCAGATTTGCTAGCTTGCTAGCCAAACTAGGAGTCAACAGGACCATATTGTTAGTATTTAGTGCCGCAAGTTTGTGTTTTGTTTATTCATTTGTTGTGATCCTTGTCGGTTTCTCTTTTTCCCCCATTTGTGCTTGTATTTCTCTCTATCTGTACTCGTACAATGTCATGTATACAGATCAATGACAGTTAAAACAGGTTATAGGGTATGATTTTCTTACGAGATGCACAGATTATAGATTCTATAATAATGGTTTGTCTATGTAATCTAAGTATCCTTCCGTTCTCAGGAACCACAATATGTAACACCATTCAGGTGTTATTCATAAAAAAAGCTCAGAAACACAACTGTGAGCAGATATGACTCCTACTAAGTGTTGAGAATAAAGATCAGTAGGCGTTACGATCTTAAAATTGTAAACGTATGTGACGTTAATGGACTCACTAAGTCTAAATTCAGAGCCTTTTTATTCTATTTTTTAAGTGAGTACCTTTGTGTACGTGCAACTGCTGCAAAGTCAATCATTGGAACCCCTTGACGTAAGCATAAGAAAAAAGTACTAAACATATAAACAAGAGGAGCAAACAACTTTTGTTGACACAACCAAACCAGACATGATTGGTGAGCTCAATGGACTAATGAGACTCTACCTCAGGTCATCAGGCACAATATCAACCCACAAAAATGCGATGTATAAACGCAATAGCTGACAAAGACAAACAATAGCCAAAGCAAAACATGATTGATGCAATCAATCAACCTTCTCCCAGTTACTGTAGGTCTATACAACGAAGGCAACTCCGGAGGCATGCAGTTGTTAGTCACTATCATATTTATAAAGAGAACATAACCACTATGAAGTGTGAGAATACATGCCTGGTACACGATTTACACATGCTGCAAGTTTTTCTTTGATGATGCTCTCAGCCAGCTTCTTGCCTGCATTCAACACATTGTTTGGAACCTCAAACTTGCCTATATACGCAAGAACTCTTCAACAATGCAACAATCATTCTCAGTGGATTCTTAAGCACCTTCTCAACTTTGATTTAGGCATATAATCCGCACCTTCTCAACTTCGATTTAGGCATAATAGATTATATCCTCCACATTTACGATGTTTATACATATTAAATTGTGGTATGAAACTTTCAGCAAAACTCCAACAATAACAATTTGTAAACTTTTTTGTTAACTTAAAAAGTATCAATTGCAAATCAGGAAAAGAAATCCATTTCTAAGGCATTCTTTTCAGCAAAACTCCAACAATAACAATTTGTAAACCTTTTTGTAAACTTAAAAAGTATCAATTGCAAATCAGGAAAAGAAGTCCATTTCTAAGGCATTGTTTTCATAAACTAATACAGTTAGTTGTTTGAGGGTGTTACAGTTTTCTTTTTTAGTGTTGGGTGATTTTTATTTATTTTGTTTCATTTGTTCTTTTTGGGTTCCTCTATCTTATTCCAATTTCAAATATTCTTTCAACTCATCAGCTTTCAAGACATGGATTATCTGATGTCTCAACAGTCTAAAGTCATTAACATTTTACGGATTTCAATCACTTTAGTGTTAATCTCGAAGTTTATTCAGGTTTCTCAAGGGTTGAGCATATACTTCTCATGAACTTCAACACTTCACAAATATTATGTATGGCTCAGCAGTGACTATAGTTTGTATACTCGCCAATAGAATGCAAATGCTAGTTCAGATAAACACAGCAGAAACTAATTCTACTCTAATAAAAATAATTATTTCTCCTACCGCTTTTTTTTTTGCTGTATTGTACTAGAAGTGAAGTACTGCTTTTTTGCCTTTTTTTTTTTTTTAAATAGGGATGATGTCAGTATTAAGTGCTAGAAAAGATACAAGAAAGAAGTAACACAGCCCAAAGATTAGGTGCTCCGTACAAAAATGAGAGAGCTAAGACCGAAAAATACTATACATTCAAAAAATGTGGTAGAGCCATAGATAGATACACCAAAAAGTAAAAGAAATTTTGTGGGACCAATAGCTCAAAAAGGTGACAAAAGGATCTCTGCGGCACTGTCGAGAATGCTACTTTAGCATGACCGTAGGCCATCGAGTTGGCCTCGCGCCACGTATGTCGCCAGAAGATGTGGATAGGTCTGCCGAGGTCGAAAATTTCGTAAAAAATGTACCCAAGTCTCCACGGGCATGATGAGGTTCTTGAAGCCCATGAAATGACATTTTTGGAATCCCCCTCAATGACCAAAACGGGGTTCCAATGAGGGTTAAAGCATTTAAGGCCCTCAAGGAGGCGAGGACCTCTAACACCATGGAATCCTCATCACCGCTGGGTTTGAAGAAGGAAGAAAGAGTGAAGCCGTACGACCATCAATATTAAGTTTGGTTTGACATTGCTTCAATGATCTCCAAAGAAAAGCTCGTGGTATTTGAAGACGTGGGGAACTCATTTGGGAGTCACCATATCCAATCATAAGAGCTGCAGCATGCCCCCCAAGGGCCCCATGCCAAGTTAGAGTGGATGAAGAGGTGTTCATCGGTTTCTTTCACCGATTTATACATGGCACACCTGTTGGGGATCAGCAAACCGCTTTTTTGTAGCTGACCCACCATTAGTGCGCTCTCGGATATTGCAAACAGCTTAAAACCTGGATCTTGGGAAATAGCAGTGAGCCGGGGACTAGCGGCAGGGGAAGGTGTAGAGAGGGGGAAGTAGAGGGCTGTTGCAGTTTCCAGTAGAAGGACATTGTAAAATGCCCGAGGTGGCTGGTATCCAAATCATCTTGTCAGCACCAGCAGTAGGGAGAAAGGTTGAGTGCATAAGGGAGGATAGGGACTTGAAGTTGGAGAGCTCCTGATCTGAGAGGGGCCAACAGAAGTTTAGGCTCCAAATCCTTGAGTTACCCAATACCTTGAACTGGTCAGCCACAGTAGCATGTCGTTCAGGATATAGCCCAATCAACACGGTTGTAGGCCTTCTCCTAGTCAAGTTTGATCAACACCCTAAGGATTTTGCATTACATAAGTGCCCAGGGATGGATACATTCATGGGCTATACTAGAGCCCCAACAGGAAGTGACAGTCCCTGACGAAAGGCACCTCAGTTTTGGGGAGATGATCCAGCTGAGAACTTCCCCATGGGGGAGGCTATGACTTTTGGGAGGATCTTGCATGAGCTATTGACCAGGCTCATGGGCCTGGAGTCTTTAGGATCCTCAGTCCCTTCAATTTTAGGGATCAGGGCAATGAACTTTACATTTATGGCCCTACAAATGAAGCTTCTCTTGTGGAATTCTTGGAAGAAAGAGACGATGTCTGGTCCTATCGAGTCCTAAAAGACATTACACAGGGCCACTGGGTATCCGCCAGGAGTAGGGATCTGTCCTGGCCAAGCTACTTGATGGCACCTAGGATATCGTGCTCAAAGAATGTATGTTCTAACCACGCCACTTTGTCAGTGGGGATGGACTTGAAAGAGAGGTCAGCTCTCCTCGGTTTAGTACCAAAAGGGGCTGAGAAAAGATTCACGAAATAGCCAAAGATGGCGATTTCCACCTCGAGAGATTGGCCATAGAGGTGTGCTCCCACTTTGACTTGAGTGATCGTAATGTCTCGCCTTCTACACTTTGCTATCTTACGAAGAAACCGGTGTCAAGATCCCCAAATTCTAACCATTTGATCTTGGAGCTTGGGACTAATAGATCTCTTCCTTCTTGAGGATTTGCTGGTATTCAAGCTTGGCTTGGGATATCTACCTCTCCTCTAGGTTCGAATTTCTCTTTTCTTCAATAAAGTCCCATCTCTCTATGCTTTGGAGTAGAAAGTCTTTAAGGATTTTGAAGTTCCCAGGAAGTTGGCGCCTCCAGGTTCAGGGAGGATACGAGGATTTGAAGTTTGAGAAAGAATCCCACCATCAGGGACCAGGAAGAGGAATTTATGTTCTTCGAACTAAGCTAGCTCGAAACGGAACAGTTTAGGCCCTCTCGTAGCTGGCTGTGTCTAGAAGTATAGGCCTATGGTAGGATGTGAGTTTTGGGCATAGATCCAAAAAACAGCTCACCTAGCCCCTAGGTGGTCGCCTAGGAGGGAGAGGGGGCATGGGTGCTAGGTCCCTGGTAGTCTGCTAGGCGGGTGCCCAGCGCCTAACCTTGGGCTGGCACCAAGGAAACTAGGCTGCCTAGGAGCGAAATTGCTTCGGGTAAGACCATTTTCCCCCAAAATAAGGGTGGGAATTTTTTTATAAACCCTCAAAAGTTGTTTTTAGCCAATCTTGACCCAAAATAACTCAAAAAATAAACCCTATCTCAAATTTCATTAGATTGAACTTCGAATTTATAGTTTCAAAAAATTGATCCAAACATTATCCTTTTGTTTCGGATTCACTTTTGTCTATTTTAGAAGCGTACTAGTGTGCTTTTGAGAAACATCTCCAACATTGAAGATTGAAGATCGAGCAAAAAGGTTAATTAAGAATCTTCATATTTTAAATTTCATTTGTTATTTCAATGTCTTCTTTGGTTTCTTCTAAAAGTGGCGATCCGGGTTGGAAGTATAGTTAAACCCAAATCCAAATGACACAAATTGTACAAGATATAATTATTGCGAAAAAGATACTAATGGGGGTATAAACCAGTTCAAAAAACACCTTGCCAGTATTACGGGAATGTTGTCCCTTGTAAAAGGATTCCTGAAGCTGTCAGGGAGGAGATTAAGCAATATTTGTGTTCGATAAAACATAAAAGGGAACAAAAGGAGCCTTGTCATTTGGATAAGTCTTCTTCTAGTTCTTCTAAAAGTGGTGATCCGGGCTGGAAGTACGGTTATAACCCAAATCCAAATGATAAAAATTATATAAAGTATAAGTCTTGTGAAAAAGACACCAATGGGGGTATAAATCGGTTCAAGAAACACCTTGCCGATATTAAAGAGAATTTTTCTTCTTGTAAAAAGGTTCCTAAAGCTTATAATGATGAGATTGGACATTATTTGAACTTGGTAAAAACCAAAAAAGGAAGAAAAGGAGCCTTATTATATGGAAAAGTCTTCTCCAAGTTCTTCTAAAAGCGGTGATCCGGGTTGAAAGTAGGGTAATATTCTGAACTAAAATAGCAAAAATTGTATTAAGCTATATTTATTGTGGAAAGGATATTGATGAGGATATCAAGAAACACCTTGCCGGTATTAGGGGGATGTTGCCCCATGTAAAACGGCTTCCTGAAGATATCGGGAAGAAAATTAAGCAATATTTGAGTTTGGTAAAACACAAAAAGCAAAAAAAAGGTGAAGAGGCATCAAATAGAGCAGCCGACACTCCTAGGGCCACTAGATCTTCACAAAGCATGAAAGGGATAAAAGAAGAGGAGGAAGCAGATTCAGAGAAATGGATGACAAACGTAATGTTGAAGAGGGAGCTGACTCTAATGAAGATGGACTCGATTCTGATGCATATATGATGAGGCTTACTCCACTTTTTCTGATGATGATTGAAGGCTCTTGACTCTTGAGTCTTCGAGTATATATTTTCTTTTTCTTATTTTCTACCCTTACTTTATCCTGTATCATTGCACGTAACTATGGATTATGGAATGGTGTGGACTATGGAGCATGGAGTATGATCTATGGAGTGTGGGTTATAATTGTGCATGTATTACTATTATATTTACTTTTGGTTGTGCTAGTATTCTATTACATTGGAACTTTGGATTATGGGATTTTTAATATTTTATGATGTGTGAATGTGTTATTCTCATATACTCTAATAGTTGTATACTCATATTCCCCTGCCCGCCACTAGAAGGGGGCCCTGCCTAGACGGCTGCCTAGGCATTGGGCAGCCTGGACCACCCTAACCGCCTATGCGCTGTCCGGCGTTTTTTGGAACATTGATTTTGGCAGGGAAACCGAGTGAGTACAAGGAAACAAGGCAACCCAATCTGTGCTCATGTGAAATTTAT